TGGTCCTTTCTCGTCTTCTGGCCCACGTGGGCTCTCGCAGCTCTGGATTCGATCGCAGCCGCCGACCATGGATTTCAACCATCTTTTCAAACAACTATATACTCGTTTGTCGTATGTCTACGAGTTCAATACTTGGAGTTCACCCAGTTCAATCGGATTTGCCCGCCTTCGCAAACACAGCAGCTCGGCCGCAGCCGCCAGCTGGGCCACCTGTCCCGGTGGCTTCGATGTGATGTCAAATGCTATAGCACGAATGGCAAAAAGCCAGATCCATTCGGTTGATAGACTGACAAAGCCCATGCAATGGCAAGTTCAGGGGACACCACCCTGGATGCCCCAACTGTCCACATTGATCCTTTGGACAATGTCTTGCTAGTCTGTTTGTGCTACCAGAAACTCAGCTGAGCTGGTTTATATAGATTGATGTTCCTTTGCAGTGGCTTCTGAGGTGACATCAAGTCAAAAACCCCTCTCACATCATCCAAGCATTCTCTCTCCTACCTCCATGAGCTTCTCAGGCATGACCAGCCGGACCAAACCCTCGTGTACACGTGAGGCGTTCAGGGCCTCAGTGGAGGTTGGCACTTCGATGAGAGCATCTCCACTGAATTCAATTCTATTATATAAATTCGATGTTCTGACCGACTCCCCTTCATTGTTCATGTCTCAACTGGAATCAATTGTTCTCCACTTCCGAGTCATGTCTGAAGCACGAGGAGTACTTCCAGCCAATTGCCCTGGGCGCAGCTTGGTTTTTTTGGGGGCCCTGCACGGCTGACGGATCGCACCAAAGCCTGTCACTCCAAACTGACTCCACTTGGGAATCTGAAACGGTTGGATTTGGCACAGGGGCCTCCGCATGTCACCCCGCCAAGAATCGAGATGTTCATACTATCTATCTCAAGCCTCAAATGGTGCTGAAGACATGACTTGGTGCTTCATCCCAGTTTGCAGGCCTTTACATGACATCACTCATCACCACCTTTGGTGCAAACGCAAACTCTCTTTGGTCCAGAACCCCCGCCCATCCTTCTCTCGATGTCCGCTGGAGGAAAGTGCCGGGAATTCCTGGCGATGAGGCCAAGTTGGCGAATTTGTTGGGAGCATCAGCGGTCTCCTTGAACCTACATTACTGTACATATACTTGATTATGCTTGGGAGTTTACTCACAGATCCACTTCCGAGAAGATAGGCATGGGCTATACATGGCTATACAATCTACAATCCACACTACCACATGCCATTTAACTCGTACATCGTACGATTGTGGACCCCTCGGCGATGTTGGAACTCGTCCTGATGGTAGGCAAATCTAAAACGTTGCTGGAATATGGATAAGGCTAATTATATAAAAGGATGCCGCATGGACAGCCAAACATGTCGCAGGACGTGTGCACTTAAGAAATCTCATGTCCTAAGAATTTAAGCTTTGGAACAGGACATATCTTTTTTGGCACATGTCCTGGCAGATTCAGCATCGAACTCCATAATCTTTCGAGATCCTCCTTCCACTCAAAAAAGCGGCCGTCTTTTCTCGCGAGTGGCGAGTGGCGAGTGGGGCACAAGGCGAGTGTCGTCTCGAAGATGGCCCTTCCAACGTTGGAACCGACCTGAAGAACCGAGCTCTTAGCGGCTCCAAGGTTTGCCTGGAAGTGGCGCCCATCCGATCCAAAAGGAACAAACGTCTCGGATCCGATTTGGACTAGGTCATATCTCAGGGTTGATCCGTTAGGATCCACAGGGTTATTCTCAGTGTTGAAAAGAGCCTTGAATTGTAAGCCTCTGGGGTCCAGCCGTGGCTTCTTTTGGTGCCTTTTCCAAAAACATGGACGACATGGACTGCCCAAATGCTGGATCAACCCAGAGCTTTCCTAGTCAACCGAAGGAGGCTCGCATGAAAAGCCCATCCCAACTCACACGGGGCCGTCGGCCATAGCCACACAGGGTTGACGGCCGCAGAAAACTCGCTTGAAGCGGCAAGCGCCCAGCGCACACCGGTCATGGTTCTTGGTCAAATACGTGTTGGGGAATACAGTAATACGTGTATATATATATATATATAAGAAACCAATGTGGATGTTTCTTAGCCCGAGCTTCATGACCGGTGCAAGGAGATCCGCTGAGGATCCTTCTGTACAAAGGCCAGGAGCCTCCCAAGCTAATCCTTGGCAGTCCTCAGTTGCTATAATGAGTCTCTGGATGACTGGCCATATTCAGGTCCTTCCTTACCCTCCTACTGGTAATTGTATCGCCCATAAAGGTCTACTGCTTTCTGCCAGCTTCACTACAGCTTTCTCGAGGTGTGATCGATGTTATGTTTTGGCCAAGCAGCTGCGTTGTCAGGCATGCCAATCTGTCACAATCTCATCCTAAGGTGCCAGGTGCATCAAAAGCAACCTCCACAAGACTTCTTTGACCTGGGATTCATGCTCTATTCGTTAAAAACCGCTGCAAGCCCAACGGAACTGCCTGCAGAAGACCTCACCGACCTCACACTGAAAAAATGCGTCCCTTTGCTCGTGATCCCCTTCGCCTCGTGCATCCAAGGTGCATGATTAAGAAAAGCAATGTACTGGAGCACCGGCAAGAAAGGCAGCCCAAGGCACTGCGGGCGGCGGCATTTTCGGTCAAATGAGATGAAAAGCGGCCGCAAATGGCTGTGGATCAACACAGGGGGACCCGGGTTCACCACGAAACATGAACAGCTAAACGATCACTACCGCTGGCGCGAGGTCTCTTGACCCATCCCAGTTTCATGGTCCTTCTTGGCGAGCTCTCGTTTCATGGTCCTTCCTTCTTGGTCCGTCTGTGGTAAGCAACCAGACTCGGCAACTGCCAGCCTGTACCCAACCTGGGCTGAGCACAAGAGACTTCAAGAAACCTCGGGGGGAACCTCAGGGACCTGTGAGTCGTTTGCAATGGAGCTGAGCCTGTTTGAGGGCTTTTCGAACCCCGGCCCCCCTGGAATTGACCCCACCCCCAACCCCCCCAATACAAGAAGAATGCCTTCCGAAACCAAAGAAGAACAGCACTTCGGTGGCACTTCGGTGGATTCCGCATCACACAGGTTTTGCCCAGGCGCAATGCGTTACTGGTTTGCCCGGCAACTCCTCCGCCTGACAAGTGACGTGAAAAGCCTGACCGGAAGGAGTCCAGTAGGGGGAATGAAGGTCCTCTAGCTGCACGGCCATGGAAAATTGCATCCGAAAAAATCCCACAGCAATGACTTCCCTCAAGGACATAACGTTCAAACTAAAGCAGGGTCCGCCACACGTATAGAATCCCAGAAACAGAGGCGCCCAAACTAGCAAGCCCCGCCTCCTCATTGACAAGGCTGACACCATCCTGACACTCTGCAAAGTCCAACAAACAAACTCACTAGGTCACTCGGCACTGGAGCGAACAAGAACAACAACAATCGGTCCAGTCGAGTTTCATATGATGGAGGTCGTTCGGTACCTGGGTACCTTTTTCATCGGTCCATTGTTGGTATCGAAAGCGGAGCAACACCTGCTGCAGGTGTTTCGGTTTCCTCTTTCGCTTCAGGTCTGCACCTGCTGCACCAACAGTTTCGGCCCACGGTTCTTGAAGAAATTGATCACTGCCTCCGAAGGCCAACATGAAGAAGGGGCACCAGTGAGGGCACAAGGCAGTGGTACAGTTGTGAAGAGGAAACCATCAAAGGAACATCAAACCTCTCCCAGTGCCAACGGGTTCGCTTCTCGGACGTCTGTGGCCAGGGATGTGGGAGCCCCTTTGATCCCACGCATTGGTGAGCTGGACCTTGACACAAACAGACGGTGAGGCCAACGCATCATTGGTACTTGGTGGTGAAAGGAGAAAATACCCCCAAAGCCTTTAGATCTAGTACTGTATGTTCTCGTGATGTCGCACATCGGTGCATTCTATTGCGAATCGGTGCGGCTTTGCAAGGAAAACACTTGCTCTCCAGACCCTCTTTTGTGGTCAACACCACTCTACACCTTTTGGCTGTCCTTGAACCTCTCATTCCCCTCCTCCAATGGGTCACCTCTAAGTTTTGTGCTGGTTCATTCTTCATCGGTTCCCGTTTCAATCAGAATGTTTGGATTCTCGAGAGTACACTCTCCCAGTTCCTTCTGTTCCCGTCCTCACCAAGAAGCCAAATCGGACGAAACGCAAATCCGGACGAAACGCCATGGGAGTCTCCTGAACCCAAAGGAGATGTATCGACCCGTGACCCATCCGCATTGACTGCTCCCCATCGACTGCGACGGCCTCGACTCCAGAACCCACTACTTCTGTGACCTGGCCACCGGTCAAAGTCACAACTTGCAGCTCAGTTGCAAAGAACCCTGAAGCAACTACAACATACTAGAAGATCCTACAAGAACCATCAAGCAACCCTGCATCCTAAATGTGCGTTTGCCTTTGGCTCAAGAATTGTAGTGGGTTCATGTGGGTTCCATGTTTTCTGTCGTACACTTGCGGGGTAGTAAAGTCAAGCAAATGCTTCGCAGGATGACCAGCGAACGTGAACCAAACGCGTGACGGCCTTTTCTTCCTGTGTGCCAGCGGGTCATGCTCCACAAGATCCTCTTTGTCATTATCCACCTGCTGATCATCGGACCATCTTCTTCGCTCAAATCATCTCAGATCGAAGTCTCCGAACCTTCCCAGACCATGGCATGGCATTCGATCCAAGAAGCTCCTCTGCTCGGCATCTGTCCCCTTGGACCAGCCCCACAACTGTGAAGGCTCCGCTTCCGCGTGCCCGACTGGCCTGGTGGCCCGATCGGGCCCGGAAAGACTCGGCCGGCGGCTCTGTGCGTCCTGGATGGGTCGCCTGTGTCCCAGCGATCGACTGCGCGATCGTGCATGTCAGGGCAGTCAGAGTCTCGAAGTCGACCGCGTGGTCTCAACATCGATGATCAGGCAGTCTGGATTCCCAGAATCTGCAGGAATCTGCCCTTTCGGAAGCACCAGCCAAAGTACTGCCCAAACTTCGGTTGTGGCGACGTTTAGAGCTCGGTCGACAGGCCCGGTCGACAGGCCTGCAGGTCCCCAGTGGCACAGCGTAGGTTTTCGTCGTCTGAGCCACCCAGCTGGGGATGAGCAAAGACCAGCTGAAAGACCACGCGCTCCATGTCGCAGTGGTTGAAGACCTCTCAGTGAGGCATCAAACAATGAGTTTGTGCAAAACAAAAGGAAACAGTACGAGCTGCGAGCACTTCATGTGTTCTTCTTTACTATGTTCTTTTCTTTAAAGCCCGGGCCCGCCTCGCCTACTTGATTAAGTAAGGGAGAAGTTTGCTCCTAGCTACTTAAGCTACTACCTACTGGACGCAGGATGGCTCATGCTTCTTCAAGACAATTTGGTTCTTAGACTTTTAGGGAAACTTAGCTTCTCTTTAACGAACAGCTAAGAGTGTCATCATGTGAGAGCCAGGCAATCACCGGTTCAGGAATGATGAGGATCCCCACTCCGAGAGCACCTTCTAAGAAGAGCACCTTGTTACACCTCTAGACTGTATGTGCTACGAATAACTTCTTGGACATGCCATGCATCCTACAAGTCCTGTGGAGGCCAATGGGCCAATGCAGGAAGGACCACCTGCTGGGGTCTGCTAACTTTCGGCCAATGTCCCACCCCATCATTAGTCCTTCCGTTGCACCCTCAAAAGCAAAACACTATTACACCCCGTCACGGCCAGCTCGGCCACCAGCTTCCATTGCACGGCCTAGTAGCGTCCTTGCTCCTAGTAGCGTGGCCCTTTGCTCCTAGTAGCGTCCTTGCTCCTTGTAGTAAGGCCAGGAGCCCCTAGTAGCGTCTTTGTTACTGCCGTTCGCAGCTGAATCCTGCCTCGTGCTCAAAGGAGTCGTCGAAATACAGCAGTTCGCCCTCTTTCATCCATTGGTGTATCACATCCGCCACGCGCAACGTAGCACAGCCCTCTGTGGGACTGGATGGAATGGAGAGCCTGAGACACACAGAGACTGCAACGAAAGAAGAAAGGAGATAGACTTTTCCTGAAAACCCTTTATCAACATCTTTTGCAAAATGGGTTCGTGGATCTCGCCAGAGCCTAAAAAGCCTGTCCGTGTGTGGTAAAGGGAGTACTCATAGTCTTCCAATATTGAAATCCTGGTCCAACAGCAGGTCCTACCGTTCAGGCACATGGTTTCACCCACATGTGCACCGAATATACTCAAATGTATGGCTTATTGCTTGGGATCTACCCCACAATGGAAATTGTCGTCCGCACAATATGCATCCAGACTTGCCACTATTGGAAGGAAGATACAGTACTATTCTTCTTGCTTTTGGGATTGGAGTATTCAAGTGGTGCAGGCCATCTTCCTTCAAAACAGGATACAAAATGATACAAACCCAAAAACTCTAGATACTTGGTACATCTTGGTACCCTGTAAGGTAAACCACCACTTGAAAAAAAGGAACCAAAAGTCTGGTAAAGGGGTCTCCGAACATGAGCAACATGGTGTTCCACCATTTCCGAGCTGCCCCAAATGCCACTTGAGCTGTGCATTGGTCGTCCCATAGTGCGGCTTGAGCCAGGCACCAGGTGCCAGGGCGGAATAGCCTGCACGGATCAAGGGCATTCCCAAGGCCTCACGTGCCACACGGCGTGCCACACGGCCGATGGACATATACAGAAGCGGCCCATTGTTCTTCCCCAAACAGCTTTGCGGCCATTGGGGTTCTCAATTCTTGCATCAAGATGATTTCTGGCCCTTTGTCTCACTTTGTCTCCTTTTGTATCCTTTGTCTCCACATGGCTCTTCTGGATGCTGGGGTGAGATGTGTGATGATTCTGCTTTGTCTCCCTTTGTCTCCTTTTGTCTCCCGTGGCTCTTCTTGGGTGTTCGGGCTGAGATGATTCTGCTTTGTCTTCCTTTGTCTCCTTTGTTTCTCATGGCTCAAAACGGCCGGCAAAGACTTTCAAGGTTTGCTGGCAACAGAAACATCAAGCTGTCGCTGTTGTTTGGTGGCGACGCTGGTGTAACTTGTTCGGCTTGAGTTCTTGGACCGGAAGAAACAAAAGGCCACATGTCATCAACAAAACATGGTATATAAGTGTACTTGCAGCAAAATGCATTGCATAAAGTCGTGGAGGCGAACAGCGCCATCTACGTAAGATATGTCCATACTATAAAAATCTCTCAAAGTATTCTGCAGGTCCATATGTTTCTTTTTTGGGGGTTTCTCGGTTTCTCTGACTTCCTCACATCCACTCACGAAAGGAAAGCGTCCTGCAGCTCCTGAAAGAGCGCACAAGCTCTGGGCGACTCCACTGCGCAGCGGATGCCCCCGGAGTCACTGGCGTGCCAGAAAGCGTTCACCTCGAACCTGCTCCATCGACCGCCACGGTGTGAATGGATGCATTCCTCGAAAGGGCGAGGAATGCGGGGTCCAGGTGCGATGCTCGTCCAAAAAATTTGGATCATCTTTGAAATTGAAGTCAAAAAAAAATCATCTGAAGTAGAAACAAATGATTGAAATGATACAATGGATCCCACTCAACTCTCATCGCAAATTACTACAAGATCAGCAAGAACCAAAGACCTGTCTTAATAATTAAGGGTCTCATCTGTTCGCAGGGATACGACTTCTGCAGATATTGATGCACACTGAGAAGAGAATCGAAAATTTCAGTTTTCAGCCAAGTCTGTCCTTCTCCCGATACATCTGTCCCGCTTCCTTCAACTCCAGGTACTCCAACAGCAGCTCAGGCACCGCGGCTCGCAGGGCTTGAGATGCCGGAAGCATCCAACTTGCTGAGACGGTCTCTGTCGGAAAGCTCCGCCATGGTCTCCCGACTCCAAGCCCGGGCACATAGCGCTTGGGAAACTGCCCCTGGGCCAGCGCGAGCAAGTGTTTTTTGGGCCAGCTCAAGCTGGGAAGCGTCACGCTGTTTAAGTTGAAATGAAACATGGCCTCCTCCTACTACAAGGCGAATTATCTACTGCCCACTGCCACACCATCGCCAACATCAAGTCACCATGCGTCACATCCCCCCGGGTCCTACCTTCTTGCCATAGCCCAAACGGATCAGTTCTTCCTCAATCTCTGCTACCCGCCCGCGCATCGCGGACGCTACGGAGGGTGGCATCTCTTCATGCAAGACCTGCTTCAGCAGGTCCAAGTGCCGCAACGCATCGGCGACCTCGGTCAACCGTGATGTCGAACGTCGGAAGAAACAGAAGAAACATTTCTGGCTCACTGTGTGTGTGTGTCACCCTCCGTTTTAAGGAGTTTGTTTTCTCGAAGAGTGTTCCTTTTGATTGTAGAAGTTGCAGGGGAGCAGGCCTGCCTCAGAGCTCTACTTAACAAAGCTCTCTGCACTGAGGATATCACTGGAGACGTCCAGTGACGTACCTGCTGAAGGAACTTTAACATACGCTGTGACTCCACTCTCCATTTTTTGATTCCATGGTTCTTGCACGATACTTTCCCCCAAACCCTGTCTTGCAGCTGAACCGCGCTGAAGTTTGCCACCGCCCCATTCCGCAGACAAATGGGCAGATTGTTCAACATTTCAATTGAGCTGACCACTTCACCTTGGGTTTCCCTCATCCCTTTCCACGTGGAACTGAGCTAACTGAAAACCCAATGACTCAGTGTGTGCCGCTGCGTCGTCCCACTTGGGTGCACAGTGTGATCCCCCGCAAGGGGGCGCTGAGACCATTGCGCTGAATCACATATCGATTCAGCTGCTTTTCATTCGTGAATCAGGTTACTGGCTCGTTTTTTGTCTCACCCATGAATCTTCAGACCCCAATGCTGCCGAGCTAGTTACACACACATGGACACACACATGTACATACAACCCCCCCTGCTTTCTCTCTTGTGCTTTCTTATTCGTTTTTAAAGTTTTCTTTCAGGCTCGTTAGGTGGCTCTTGGGGCTCGTTTCCCTGCCCCTCGGCTTTTGTTTGGTTCTTTCTCTCTTGCCTGTTCGTTTCTCTTTCTAGGTCTGCCTTTCCGCTAAAGGCTTTTTAGGTTTGTAACGAGGCCTTTTCAGTCAAGGGCTAAGTATTCAAGTGCTAAGTATTCACTGTTTCGCTACTCCTATCTTTCCTTCTTGCCCTCTTCTTTTTGCTCTTTCTGCCTTTCTTTCTTTCTTTTCTAAGGCTTGTTAGGTACCTAGTACCTAGTCATGTTCTTTACCGCCAGAGAGCGCCGCAAAGCTGCCGCGCGTGTGTGTGTGTGTCACCCTCCGTCTCTACAAGTTTGTTTTCTCGAAAAGTGTTCGTTTTGATTGTAGAAGCTGCAGGGGAGTGGAGCAGGCCTGCAGAGCTCTACTTAACAAAGCTCTCTGCAGTGTCCTGACGATATCACTGGAGACGTCCAGCGACGTACCTTCTGAAAGAACTTTTACATACGCTGTGACTCCACTTTCCATTTGTTGATTCCATGGTTCTTGCACCCCCAAACCCTGTCTTGCAGCTGAACCGCGCTGAAGTTTGCCACTGCCGCATTCCGCAGACAAGTGAACAGATTGTTCAACATTTCAGCTGGGCTGATCACTTCACCTTGCGTTTCCCTCATCCCTTTCCACGTGGAACTGAGTTAACTGAATACCCAATGACTAAGTGTGTCTCCCCCTGTTTTAAACGGTTCTCTTTTGCACGCGCGAATTGAAGATGCAGGGGGCGCAAGCAGCCCATCCAGTCTTGCACCAACGAAGACACTGGATGTGTGCTAGTGAAACTGATCCAGGACGACCTGCGCGCGACACCACTCCACTTTCTCCGCGCGTTTTGTTGTTTCCATTGTGGTTCTCATGCTATTTCCCTAAACTCCCCCCGCAGCTCTGAGCCGCCGCCGCGTTCTGCAGTCACGCACAAACTTTTGTTCAACAAATTCAACTGAGTGGACCACTTGAACCTGCGACTAAGTCTGTCTCGCTGCGCTTTCCCATGTGGGCGCGCAATGTGATCCCCCGCGAGGGGGGGCTGAAGCCGTTGTGAATCACGTATCGATTTAGCGGCCTTGAGTTCTTGGATTATGATATCGGATTGATTTTGTTTCACCACTGATCGCAAAGCGGCTGCGCTAACGGTTTTCATGCTGCCGAGCTCACGGTTCAAGCCTTTTTTGCAAGTCTTTTCACTTTCGTATGCGAGCGCAGGGGTCTGACCCCGTAATTTGCCGTTCATTCGGCACTTTTGCTCGACAGATGCGCACGGCGCTACACCTATCTTTCCTCTTGCCCTCTTCTGTTTGCTCTTTCTGTCTCTCGTTCTTCTTTTTTCTAAGGCTTTTTAGGTGGCTATAAAGTGGGGAACGCGTGAGGCTAGCTATGTGGTAGCTGCTTCCCAGCGGATTGATTTTGTTGTGACAATCTCACAAACGCGTGTAGGGAGATTGAATGTAACGCGCTGTAGTCACAGTGGCCACCTTTTGCCCTTGGAACTACGGCCCAACTTTTCCCTCTTGGAGTGGTCCAAAGACATCATCCTTCGGTTGTGATCGTGGAACTACGGCATCCTAAACTTGACATTGGCGCCCTGCAGGCCGCCGGAGCGGCAGTGCCCCCGCGATGCGTCGCCTTTACAGGTCTGAACTTCAATTCAGTCTGAGGAACGTGGAACGTGATGTGGAACATGGACAGGAGACTTTGCTTCCTTCAGGAACAACTGCTTTCCAGAAGGCGATTGAGACATGCGCCGGAATAACGGCTGTCTGTGTGTGCCTCCCCCTGTTCCAAAGGGTTCTCTTTTGGGCGCGAATTCAAGAAGGCAGGGGGCGCACGCAGCCCATCCAGTCTTGCACCAACGAAGACACTGGATGCGCGCTGGTGGAATTGATCCAGGACGCTGGATCAACGTACCTGCGCGTGACACCACTCCACTTTCTCTGCGCTTTTTGTTGTTTCCATGGTGGTTCTCATGCTATTTCCCTAAACCTCCCCCGCAGCTGTGCCGCTGCTGAGCCGCCGCCGCGTTCTGCAGTCACGCAAAAACTTGTGTTCAACAGATTCACCTAACTGAGCAGATCACTTCGCCTTACTGTTCCATCGCCTTGTCCTCGTGGATAATGAAATTGAATGAACCTGTGACTAAGTGTGTACGCATGTGGGTGTGTGTGCGTGTAACCCTTGGAATCAAAGGGAACCTTTAGGTTTGGAAC